AAATACCAAATTAATACCACATACACTATTTGGCCTCTATTGCCACATAATACACTACATATACATTGTCACCACATAGATAAAACATTTCTTGTACTTGTACTAGTATTTTAGCCGATCACTATAAAAATTGCCACATATTCACATAATGTATAATATTGAACTAAAATACAAAATAACATAGTATGAAACAAGTGTAACCGATCAAAATGATATGCATTCCTAGTTGGCAACATATAATATCATCCATATAAGTTTATTTACACCACTCAAACTAAAATTAGGCATTACTATTTGTGATGTAGCAAATATACTAATCCTTGCTCGATTCATTCCCTTGCTTAGTCTCAGTGGTAGAACCTATAAAATAATAACCATAGGGTCAGATAAAAATTTTAGTAACTAAGATAATCTACATAATTGATTAACAAGTCAAGTTATAAACAAGCCTTAAAATAAATAAAAATAAATACACCATATAAAATCACTACAAGTTATATGTATGATCCCTAATTATCCGGTCCTCCAATACTCTTAACCAAACTGGTAGGCTATTTCACGAAACCAAACCACATGTATGGTCCCCAAGCTCACCATCCATGGTAGGACTACCTGCCTAAGGTGTCCTAAACCACTTTTAAACTACTGATTCCCCTTATTACAAGTAATTGGGGTGTCGTTACTCTAATAGCGCATCCTACGAATGCTAAGGAGCATATTCTCTAACTCCGCACCCTTTTGGGTACTAAGGAGAGTATGTCTCCAACATCACACCCATTTTCAGGCACTAAGGAGAGTAAGTGCTGCACCTAGCATCCCGAGGTGCCAGCAGTGCCATATGGACTTAATATTCTCTAACTCCACTAGGGTGACCTCCTAACCTCTAATATGTCACATTTCACTACATATCCCTACTTGACCATGCATAAAACACTTTCTAAACTAATATAATGAATATTACTACTTACTTTAAAAACTTGACATTTTACAAATCAATACTCCACTCATTTCTAAAATAGTTAACTTTTACAATAATTCATAGATATACACATAACAAATCATGCAAGAACAACTAGAGAATAACTTATATAAGGTAATAAATAATGTAAATTATCTAGTTACCTCAACTCTTTTGTTACTAAAAAGGTTACCCGTGGTACTAAATCTCTTCTTATGTTAAGGCAAACCTTCCCATACCACAATCTACAACAACAAGTATTGTGTGTCAATTTTCAATTAACACAAGCACTATTAGCTATCAAAAAACCTCTCAATTCTCCCACTTCTCACTCATATTCTCAATGAAGAGGCTCGTTAAGATTACAATTTGTTCACATAATGCCTTCAAGCCTCCCTCTACCTCTATCACAAAATAACACTTAATATCTCAACTTATCATACTTCAAAACTCCATGATCAAGTTAGGGCTTGATCCAAATTTCACCAAACAATAAAGTAGCTTCATATTACCACATATCCAAGATTAATAAACCTAAATCAAGCCTTTAAAGTCAATAGAAATCTTTAAAATATAGACTTATAGCTTAATCCATTCAGAGCAAATTCTCCCACTTTCAAATTCCATGGAAAATGAGATGAAAAGGTAGAAAACTTACTCAAGAGTTTGAAGGCTCAAATTATCTTCAAAATCCTCCTAAAATGATGCCCTAGCAGTGCCTAAACTTGCTCCTTCGTGTTCTAGATTTCCCACCCCAAAAACTATCATTTTCTAATATTTTCAAAATTTTAAGTTGCTTGCTATGCTATGTGAGGTAGTGCATGCCACACAAGCCGCAGCTCACGATGCAACGAGCAAAATATTGATTTTACTCCCCCCGATGCCACCCAACTTGATCCGACTTCCATCCTAACTCAATTTAGAGCAAATATGACCTAAAAAGCCAAATAACAACTAAAAACATAATTAAATAAATTAATAATCTTTTTTTAACTAATTTATCCCTTAATTAGTTAATTTTTCCATATTTGAAGTTTTTGGATGTTACAACTCATCCTTCTTTTATTGAGCATGGATCCATCTCTCATCATGATGTATTGGAGATAGTGGAGATAACTGAATAGAAAGATAAGATTTAGCTTATTCTTCTCTCCCTCTTATTGGCCTCCATTAAAACTTTATTGGCCAAACCATAACCCCTACAATAAATTTTTTGGGGATAATTATTTATCTTTCCAATCTCTTATGCCTTTCTCCTCCTTTCTTATGAATTAGAATTACCAAAATATTGGTAATTCAATAAAGACAAGGATTTCTAAATTAAATGAACCAATATACAAAAAAATTTACTGAAGCATCTAGTGTAGTTTGAAGCCTAAAGAATTCTTCAAAAGTACCCACATAAAGAAAAGTATACTAGGTGCAAGGATCAGGCTAAGACTATCCTTCTGGCACATCAATATGCACATGTAACCTCATGAGTTTATTTGCTAACTACAGGTAAATTAGTAGATTTATTAAGTTAATTGTGTTTCTTGGGAATTAGTTGACATCTTAGGTTATGGATAGCTTCAAGATCAACCTAGGATGGAAGTAGATCGAATTGAGATTGACTAGGTGAGCCAAAGTGAGACTTTGCTCACTATGCCATAAGCAGATGCTTGTGCACCGTGAGTTGTGGCTCATGGCACATTGCTGGCATTAAGAAGTCGCGAATTAGGTGCAAAAATTAGAAGAAAATATAAGAAAAATGCAAGGAAGCTCAAGAGATTGGCATTTTATCATCTAGGGCTGGAAGATTTGACTATTTGGAAGCTAATTTAGACCTGTAAACTCTTGGGTAAGCTTCCTAACTCCCTTTCCTACATCTTCATCTTGTTTCCCGTGGTTTTTGAGGATGGGTAGAGATATTTTGAGTTGGAGAAGGTTTATATTCAATTTTTGTGTCTACAATCAATCACAGCCCACAAATTTGGATTTCTAAACTATAACATTAATAAATCATACTCTAAAATTTGGACTTGCCACATCATAAGCAATCTTCACACATCATGTAACACCACAATCTAAGCTTTTATAGGCAATAATTTAAGCTTCAAGAGACTTCTATAAAAAAAAATGAGAATAAGATTTTAGAGATTACCTCAACCAAACAAAATCACAATGGGTCTTTAAGAGCTCATGATCTTTAGAAATTCTCCCTAATTAATATTTTGACCTAGTAATGAACAAAGTGATCAATTCAATGCAAGACTTCAAGTTTCTTGATTATTAACAACACATAAATTCATATTTACAACCACTATTCCATTATTTCATATTCAAAGACAAGGTTCAAATATTCAAATACTCAAGTCTAAGCTAAAATTTTATAATCCAAGAATCATTTTGTGCATGAAATGAACTGATACAATACCAAAATGAACTAATACAATACAAGGAAGAAAAAATAAACGAAGTAATTTAGGGAATCCAGAATCAGTGGAACCATGGCAAGAAATTAAAGTCAAAAAATCATGGGTCATCTAATTCAAGAAAAAATCATGGCGAGACCCACAAAACAAGAGCTCAAAATTCAGAAAATAAAAAGCAAAAATAGAAAAATTACCTAGGCAGTAGCTGGAGCATATGAATCACACGAGCACGTGGGTTTGAAGCTTTGCTTTTAGGGCACAAGCATAGGATTCAGGCTTTGAAGCTTTGGGATTCTGGGTTTTAAGCTTTTTGTTTCAAATGAGCTTGAAGAAGACGAAGAACGGAGGGAGAAGATGAAGAACATAAGCACGAGAACTAATTCTAGGTTAGGGCACAAGCACAACACAAGACAAAGAACTGATTTTGAGTGGTGATGAACTAATTCTGGGTAGCTGTTTACATGCGCTGTGTTTTCGAGTGTGGATGGTGATGGATTGATAAAGAAGGTTTTTTTTTTTTTAAAAAATTTAGAAAGCATATTTAAACCAATTATAAAGGAAAACCGATTAAGATATATTTAAAAAAATTTAAAAATTTTAAACACATCTAAATCGGTGATAGATTTTAACCGGTTTAGTTATATTAACAAAACAATTTTTTTTAAAAATTAGAAATTAATATCTAAATAGGTGTCTCTTAGAAATAAAAAAAATTCAAAATATAATAGATATCTAAACTGATTATAATATATAACTGGTTTATATATTAAGATCTAAATCTGTTACATAAAGAACCAGTTTAAATGTCATCTTAGCTTCCTGCTTATTTACAACAATGCTATCGCCTTCACTTTTTAAACTGTATGCACATGAACTGGTTTAAAAATGATAGTTTAAAAAGGCTATTTTGTCATAGTGTATTGTTGTAAAAGAAATCTTTTTGGCTTTGCTAACATACTTGGTCTTATATTTATATATATAAACAGGTGTGTGTATCAGCAACTTGCGCGTAAGACAATCTACTTGCAAATGCCATCACGGATAGTTGCATTGCATATTGACCTAATGATTGCTTTTGGAAAATTCTTAATGCAACTTGATCATCGAAAAAGACCAAAACCACGCGGTCTCGCCATCCAACAACTTGCAAGCTTCACTGTCCAAGCAATTAAAGTAATATTGATAAATTAATAAATGGAATAAAAAAATTAATAACTAATAATTTTGCATAATAAATTAAGGGTGTTTTAATTTTTTCATAGTTCAAATTATTTTTACTTTTATCTCTTAAATTGAACTGAAATTTTAAAATTTTTTAAGGCCCACTAATAATTATATTACATCTCTAACTTTATTTGAAATTCTTCCAATACTATTTCATCACGGATAGGTGCATTGCATATTAACTAAATGATTGCTTTGGAAAATTCTAATGGAACTTGATCATCGAAAAAGACCAAAACCACGCAGTATCGCCATCCAACAACTTGGAAGCTTCACTGTCCGAACAATTAAAGCTTATAAAAAAATAATGAAAATAATTTATTATTCATTCTATTTAAACTCACACTGCCAAAGAAGATCGGCATTCAAAGATTACTAGACTGATACAGCAGGAACTTGCTGCAATGGCTGCTTCAACAGTTAACCAATCCTCAGAGATCGTTCTTACTGTGAAGAACCAACAAAGGCCTGAAGACCCACCCACTGGACGAACTGTAGATGATAAAGAAGCAGTGGTTGCAGCTGAAGCTAAACCTAAGAAGAAGAACAAGTCCCGAATGAAAGAAATGGAAGAGTTCTTCAGATACAATAGCGAGAGAGATAAACCAAGCGACGTACGGACAGCCCTCCTCACTGTTGCTGTTCTAATAGCGACGGCCACGTATCAGTCTGGGCTTAGTCCCCCAGGTGGTGTGTGGCAGGAAACCAAACCTGAAGCCACTCCCTCAGACAAATCTGAAGCCACTGCCCCAGGTGGTGTGTGGCAGGCCACTCCCCCAGGTGGTGTGTGGCAGGCCACTCCTCCTGTGGCCACTCCCCCAGGTGGGGAGGAAAATAAAGAGGTTGCTGGCGTTTCAATTATGGGTACAAAGAGCATTCCCTCGTTTGCAGTATTCATGGTTGGGAACTCTGTGGGGTTTTTTATGTCGCTCTATACGATTGAGTTCCTCACACGTGGCTTCCCTCTTCGGATTGAGTTGACGGTCTGCTTGCTGGCACTAACCGTTACTTATTGTACATCCATGCACGCCGTCATGCCCCCCAGTGTAAGTCTCATCGTCACTATTTTCTATGGACTATCTATTGGTCTTCCCATCTCCTTACCTTTCATAGTCCGACATTTGAGAGACTCCAAGTGTGTTCGCAAATTCAGGCCTGACATTAAGCGAAAGCCTGAAAGGGTTACGGAAGGTTCACTGCACTGAAACGGTTAAGGGACTGTGACCTGCAGGCCACACTAGCACAAGCCAGATATCATATATGGCCAAGGCTTAGTTTGCTCAACTTTATGCTTTCTTTCCATCTTTGTCCATCTGATTCTTATATATGGTTTACACTTGTGTTTGTTTTTCCATTTACAATAATAAAAAAAATTAATAAATAAAAAGACAGTGATCTTATATATGGTTTACACTTGTGTTTGTTTTTCCATTTCCAATAATAAAAATAACTAAAAAGTCAGAGATCTTTATGTTGTAATCGTGCATATTTTGTTTGTTCATTATTGTAGATTTATTTTGCAAAAGTATTGTAAATATACTCCCTTCTATCCTTATTATAAGGCACCTCTAAAAAATACCTTATCAGAATCTAGGAGGAGTGATTTAGGAATTAACTTTATCTTAAAAAAGAATAAAATTTTCCTCCCTTCTTATATTTAAATAAAAAATTTTCAAATTTGCCTTGTACTCTTTTTCACAATTGATATTCCACTGAGCGTCTTATATTAAAAATCATCAATTTCTTTAAAAAAGTGCTTTATAATAAGAATAAAAAAAAAAGTATTGAATGTGTGCACGTGCGCGCCCATAGAGAGAGAGGGAGAGATATGTTTTCTTATGTACTCCTCTTGTTCCTTATCGTAAAATATTTATTCAAGTGTCTTATCTTAAGGACTTTGGCTGACGTTATTTACCTTAACTAAAATCAAACCCCCATGCGTTGCACGAATGATGATTAATGAAGATAAAATCAAAAATTTTAGATAAAATGTTTAGAATTAGTAACTCGACATTAGACTTATGAACAAAAATGGGGAGAGAAATAAAAATTCATTTGAAACATAATTAGAGTTTTATTTTAAATTAGAGTCAAACACCGTGCAGTACAGGGATGTGATTAAAATTTATTTGAGAGAAATAATTATTAAAATAATTTAAATTATAACATGAATAATAAATAGTTCGTCATCACACGTGCGTAAGAAGATGAATCTTAAACACGATAATATCATTTAAAAATATTCTCTTTTTATATATAAGACTATATTTTTATTAATTTAAATAGTTGCAAATAAATTTTTTTATTACAAATGGAGTTCTATATTTTAAATTTAAATGTCTTATTTTTCATTAAAATTTCTGAATTTATGATTATTTGAATTTACATATATATATATATATATATATAATTTTTCAAAAAATTAATTAAAAATCTAACTGTCATAAATTCTAAATTTCGGGGCTTTAATGTCATTCTCCCACAAAAATGTAGTCTTTTTCCCCCCTAACAATATGGTCTTTTACAGTTGATAATGTAAATGAATTATGCATATTCGTAATTTAAATTACATAAAAGATTTGAAATAATGTTAATGCATAAATATAACAATTTAATTCCCGTGCCTTGCATGGAAGATAACTAAGTAAGATGATATAACATTTTAAATGAACGAATATTGGTGGAGATATATGAAATGAAATAAGTGAAAGAAAGAGAACAACTTCATAGACATAAAGCATATTCTCAATTTAAATATTGTTCCTGAATTTAAATAATGTCAATGAATATGTAAATTTTAATTTTGAAAATGTTAAATAAAAATTTCTCCATAAAAAAATAAAATAAACATATACTCGTATAAAACTCAAATGTAAATCAAATCAATACTATAAGCTGGATGCGTAAGATATTAAATTCCTTTCAAATTATGTTTTCTTAATACTTAATGAGATAGGCTTGCAAGATAAAATTTAATCCCATGCATTGCAAGATTACTAATCAAACTGATTAAAAGTATAATTATTTTTTTTTTCATGTTGACACAACTATTATTACTAAAAAACCTCTCGCGCATTTTCCACCGGTTTTATTCCTGGGTTGACTGTTAATATTAAACTATGTTATATAATTGTGAATAAATTTCCCTTTTTTAATACCTATGTATTTTCTGTAGCAAATAAACCATTAAGTAATAATTTCTCTACACTTAATTTTTTAATATAAATTAAAATTCTTAGTAAATGGAATAGTAACAAAGGAAGTATCACAAACCTAAGTACATTTATCAAAATTTGTAGTTTGGGACTTTAACTATCAACTTTCTTTTATCGAAAAATGTATAAAAGAACCGCACAAACATTTGTAGTTTGTCAATTGAAATGAGCCATCTCATTATTAATCCCGGTGTGTTAACAGATCAAGAGTTTTTAAAAATTATCAAACTCAGCATCGTTAACACATTGCTGCAGCACACAACACCCACATTATTTATAAATTGGCTCCTCAGCATGTACAAGCACCTGATAATACTTTTATAAGCTCAACTGCCTCATGGAAGATAAAAGCAGGAAATATAGCATACTTGGTTGAAATCCATTGACCTCCTCTAGCTTCTGTATATAATAATCGGATACCATATCCTGCAACAAACCGGTAAAGTCTCCCTACCACTGATAACCAAGGTTCTAATCCTACTATTTTTGGCCAAAAAGAAAAGCAGAACCTACATCGACCAATCTCTAATGCTACTTTCTCATGCAATATATCGTATGCAGGTAAATATGCCACTCTGAACTTTTTCGTCCACCCCCATAGACTGGCTCTTGTGCATTGCACGGATTATAAATAAGAGAATTGAGTGAAGTATCTTAGGCATCAATATTTAATAGTAATGATAATAACAATAATAATACCACTACAGTGAAGACAATTCTAGAAGTATATCTATTTTCTCCCCTTAACTTTCATTTTCCAAATGTACAATCAATATAAAAAAAAACAATAAGATTTGATATAAAACAAATATGATGGTCAAATCTTAAAAATGAACTCACTACATATGATCATTATGAATGATATGGTAGAAGTATTTGTATGAGAAAATTCCTACATTAATTAAAAAAAACCAAATAACGATATATGGTGCAAATATCCATTATATGCAGTATGCTCTTCAATTTTAGATCAATTAGTCTGTGTCTCTGTCCCGTTCCTTATAAGGTGTTTCCTATAGGAGAATCAATTAAGAAATGAAGAAAATCACTTAAATAGCAAGGAATCCCTTTCTACCCTTTAATGCCAATCACCGAAGAAGATAGTTGATAATACATTACAACAAAAGTATCATGCAAAGCTTACTAATAACAATGTAAAGATTTCAAATTCTTTTATCCTCAAGTGCCTCTATCTTACGATCACTCCTTTATGAAAGAGTAGCATAATTTAAATTAGTCCAAACAATTGAAAAAAAAAGTCAATGAATATGTATCTGAATTTTTAATGCTTAATAATAACTATATCAACTAATTGTATTGATGTCAATGACTATGCAACTCATGAGTATACACAATTAATATGATAAGAATAAATTGGGGAAAAGTATACAAATTCTGCAGTGTTTAGTACGCAAATCTAAACATACGAATATGTTTTCTTATTAGATGGATTCAGTTAATAAATTTTATTTAGTAAAAATACTTAACATTAAGAATCTTATGGTTAATTTGTATTGTAAATAATTAAAATTACCCTTAGTAAAACACGATCACCTTTACTTGTGAAAAGTGTCTTGATTAAGTTGTTCTAATTAAATATTATTTAATATTTTATTTTTGAGTTTCAATTTCAAAGCTGTTGAAGTTTGTGATAGTTAATTGAATCTTTATTAACATGTCATTAATCAACAGTGATGTTATTTATTTCATTATTACGTAATAATTTCCAATACTCAATAAATTCATAAAGAAATTATTTATGCATAAACAACACAGAATATAAGGATTGCAATAAAGGACTTTACATGGGCACATACATTGTTATTAATGATATTGATACTTACAATTCAACATTGGAAAAACATTTTTCCTTAATAAATACTCACGAACGAATAGATATGTTATATGATAGGAAAAAAATTGTTTATTCTTAATTTGTTTATTCTTTCTTTTCTTGACTAGAGATGTCAATGATCTATTTTTTTTATGGGAGTAGTCAGATGTTAGTTTAATGACATTGAATCATCCACAAAGACTACTAATATTATGTGACAAGCACAAATATTTCTAGATCATTCTGTATCCTACACGTGTCTCATTTATATTGGAGTTGTCTCCCTATAAATATAAGAACTCATTGTATGCACTATTCATCAATGAATACATATTCGAGTACTGATTCAAAAATGCTCTGTTGTTCTCTTATTCTCTTTGCTTATTCCTGCTCTCTTATGGTATCAGAGCCCTGACATAAGTCAGTATGGCAACCACACCTCCCTTTAGTGCTTCCGGCACCATCTCACCACAGCCTCTTCACTCACCTCCATCCACTTATCCCTCCAACTTCCATCATTTTATTACTATAAAACTCACAAATGACAACTATCTCATATGAAAAGCCCAACTTCAACCTTATCTTTATGGTCAATAGTTGTTTAGGTATATTGATGGCTTAATACCTTCTCCACCACCTCGAACACCTTTAGGTCTCCCAAACTGAGCTTATCTTCGTTGGTTCCAATAAGATCACCTAGTCCTATCTATTCTCATAGCCTCCCTTTTTAAAAAATTAATTCCTCAAGTCCTCCATCATAAAACCTCTTGTACAATGTGGGTAGTTATTGACACATTGTTTTCTCAGCAAACACAAGCTCGCCTTGTCCACCTTCATTAACAAATCACAACCCTCAAAAAAGGAGGAGAAACTATCTCCGAGTATCACCATAGAGCCACCATTCTTGCAGATTCTCTAGCTGCTACAGGCAAACGTGTTGCCAATGATAATTTTATTACCTATCTTCTTGCAGCCTTAGGCTCAAAATTCAACACTATAGTAACTTCTCTCACCACTTAACGACATACCCTTAATATTGAAGAAATTCTTAGCCACTTACTTACTTTTGAGGCTCGCATGAATTGAAAAGACTCCATTTCTTTACTTGTTGAGATCACTACTAATGCTGTGAATTAAGTTGCTACCAACTTTTTCT